ATGGTTCCAGGGATGGGGCAGTGACCACCTCTCTGGGCAGCCTGGGCCAGGGGCTCAGCACCCTCACAGTGAAGAACTTCTTGGATCTAATAGAAATCTCCTTCTTTTAGTTGAAACCCATCACCCCTTACCACAACCTGCCCTTGTAAAATGTCCCCCCAGCTTTCTGGCAGCCCCCAGCAGGTCTCCCCAGCTGGAGCCTTCTCCTCTCAGCTGCCCCAGCCCAACTCTCTCCTGCTGGGCTCCCAGCAGAGGGGTTCCCCCCTCGGGGCATTGCTGGGGCTCCTCTGGCCCCGCTCCAGCAGCTCCCTGGCTCTGCTGTGCTGAGGACTCCAGAGCTGCCCCAGCACTGCAGGGGGGTCTCCCCAGAGGGGGCAGAGGGGCAGGATCCCCTCCCTGCCCTGCCCAGGGCCTTCTCCCCAGGGCTGCCCTCCAGCCTGGGCTGACACCGGGGGGTGCCCCAACCCCAGTGCAGGACCTTGCCCTGGTGAACCTCATGAAGTTCACACAGTTCCACCTTTCCAGCTTGTCTCTGGATGGATCCCATCCCTCAGGCATGTCAACCCCACCGCTCAGCTTGGTGTCATCTGCAAAGTTGCTGAGGGTGCCTCAGTCCCACTATGTCATTGATGGAGATACTGAACAGCACTGGTCCCAGTATGTCCCCCTGAGGGACACCACTTGTCACCATTGTCCATCTGGACATCGTGCCATTGACCACTGCCCTCTGGATGGAACATCCAACCAATCCTCATCCACTGAGCCATCCACCCATCAAAATCCCATCTCTCCAATGGAGAGAGAACGTTGCAGTGGGTGTGCACAAGTGAAGCTGGTTAAAGCCCCCCTGGTGCTGGGCTCTGCGTGCCACCACAGAGGAAGAGGGCTGCTTAATGCTCTTCGTGCTGCAGGTCCAGCCATGGTGACTGATCACACGAGGCCACACGATGCCCATCTTGCCTCACATCAGGCTGTTCAGAGCTTGGGGAAGCAGAGCACTTCATTTTTACCTGAAAGTCACGGATATAGGTGAGGAAAAAGCTGAGGAAGGAGAATGCCAACGACCACTCCGAGACAGTGCTGATGATGTGAGCTGTGTAGCCCTGTGGAATGGGGATATGGGGGGAAAAAATCAGCATGAAAGGCTCCACTTGAACCTGCAATGGCACAAACGTGGCTTGTACGTCCCACATTCCACATCCACAACCATCCCCTCTGGAGGGCAGAGTTTCTTAGTGTATCTGGAGTCTCCAGGAATGAGGTGGTGGCCCTGGCAGAAGAGTGAGGGTGCCCAGGAATGCAGCCACTCCACGCAGCTGGGATGGCCCCCACTGGAATTCGGTGTCCACCTGCAAAACCTGACTGCTCAGTCAAGAGCCTGGCAGGGCTAAAACTCCCCACAAAAGGTCAGGGTTCAAGGTCCTCCTCTGGCTGTAAGCAGACTTCTGAGAGGCTTTAAATGAAGTGAAGGGTGGGCAAAGCCCTCAGACCCAGCCTGCATCAGATTTCCTGCAGCAGTGCTTGGAGAGGATGAGGAGGGCCAGAGGGTCAGGCAGAGCTGTGAAGGACCCACCTGCACTTTCTCTGTCCTGCTGGGGATCACTCAGTGCCCAGCACTTCCTACTTCAATGGCAGCTCCCTCACTTGTGCCCTTTGGCCTTTTCCTCCTGCTGCCCCCACCACCAGCAGCCAGGACTCTGCTCTGCTGCAGCCACCCAGCACTTGAGTCATTATTTAGAGGTTCTGTGTGGCCCAGGAGTCGCTGCCCAGCACAGCCCAGGCAGGCTGCTGGTCAGACAAGTCATCGAGGCAGTTCAACTGCTGCCTGTGAGCAAGACTCATTCCAAACAACACTTGAAGCTGCCTCTGTTTTGTTTGGAGCAGTGCTTCAGCAAGTAGCTGCACACTGGCTCCACTGGTAACCCTCAGTTGGCCTCTCCCACCCCAAGTCCATGTCAACAACAGCAGGAAGTGCCCAGAGGCCTCTGGCACTGCAAATAACATCACTGGGAATTTTCTCTGTTCATTTTCTCCACTCAATCACTTACTTCTTCCCGTGGGTTCCAGTGCAACTTCTGCACTAGATTTGTTCCATACAGGCCACTGTACAAGACCACTGAGGAAACAAACACTGTGAAGAAATATGTTAAGGAAAATTGAAGACCAAGAACGAGCAACTTGGAAGCTTCAGACTCAGCTCTGGACTGTGCCAGGATGAGGCTGAGGAGATCTCTGCCTGTCTTGCACAAAGTCTCCTCAACCCAATGAACAGGGATGGTGACATGGGCTGCCCATCACTCCTTCAGCCTGGAGGTTGGTCCAGCTGCCTGTCATGTGGAAAGGTTAATTCTCATCTGAATGGATTCTTAGTCCTCTCTATGCTGCATCTTATACCTCCTTGATCAAGCAGTGTGTCCTTATGAAACATGTAATGATCAAATGTGGCTACTTGCTGGGCAGCTGGAATTTTTTAGTGGTATTTTCCAGGCTAAGAGTGCCCAGATCTCTTCCTCTGATGGCTTGTCAGCTTCTCAGCCACCTTGAGCTCTCACTATGTGGGTCACAGGTTGGAACACTGCACCAGCTGCAGCACAGGGATCAGATTTTTCTCTCTCCCTCGTAGTTCACTCAAGGTTTGCTGACTGCTTGGGGTCACAGGTCAAGGAAGAAGCTCCATGGCTCGATTCCTCATCTGATCAGAGATCTGGGACCTTCCCAGAGAGACTGAGAGGTCCCTTTTCCAACACCTTCCAGAGGGAAGGTCTGTTACATCAGTGCTGCTGCCTCTACAAAGGAAACTTGGAGCACTGTTACAGCAGATCTAATTTCCTTAGGATTAAGATATCAACTCCTTCAATCGTTAATGAGATTAAACATCCAGAGCCTTCTGATGTGAAAGATTAATTCTGGTGGTGAACAAGGCTGAATTTCCTGGCACAAACATGTCTTTGAAAACCCAGACTTCAAAAGCTTATTAAAAAAAATGATGAGTGGTCCAGGGAGCTCTGGTTACTGACCTGCATGATTCCCAATTCTCTGCTAATTAAAATGTACAGCTTTAGTAGCTGTTAGTTACCTGCCCGAGTTACTGCTCCAATGGAGAGAATTTAATCATTGTGATAAAAAAATAACTGGCTCCCATCCTGCCCTCATTATGGAGCAAGTAATTAACTGCTTTCATCTCTTCGTGCTGGCAGTTCTGTGGTTTGGCTCCAGCAGAGGATCAGGAATATTTTTACAGAATCATAGAATTGTTTAGGTTGGAAAAGACCTTTCAGACCATCGAGTCCAAATGTTCCCCAGCACTGCCAGGTCCCCACTGCCCCGTGTCCCTCACCCCACATCTCCACGGCTTGGAAACCCCTCCAGGGGTGGGGACTCCACCACTGCCCTGGGCAGCCTGGCACAGCCCTGGGCAACCCTCCAGGGCAAGAAATTGTTCCTCAGGGGCAACCTCAACCTCCCCTGGGGCAACTTGAGGCCCTTTCCTCTTGTCCTGTCCCTTGTCCCTTGGGAGCAGAGCCCGACCCCCCCCTGGCTCCAGGCTCCTGTCAGGAGCTGTGCAGAGCCAGAAGGTCTCCCCTGAGCCTCCTTTGCTCCAGGCTCAGCACCCCCAGCTCCCTCAGCTGCTCCTCCCCACACTTGGTCTCTAGACCCTTCCCCAGCAGCTCCGTTGCCCTTCTCTGGCCATGCTCCAGCCCCTCAAAAGGTCCTTCTTGGAGGGAGGGGCCCAAAACTGACCCCAGGATTTGAGGTGTGGCCTCCCCAGTGCCCAATCCAGGGGCACAATCCCTGCCCTGCTCCTGCTGGCCACACCAGTGCTGATCCAGGCATTTTGCCTTCTGTTCTTCAGTACCAGTTACAACCATTTCACCACAAACTTCTCCCTGTTACTGGTTTTCCCTTATTACATGATGAGTTGTTAATTTAGAAAATATTGCAACAATTTCCCTTTTCTTCCTCTTCCACACTTAAGTTTGACTCGATCATTACTTCTACAGCTTTACTTCCCTCTAATTTTGGTTAGACCACAGTGGTTCAAACACCTCCAGATCTGGGGTTTGTGGCTTTTTGGCATCTTTAAAAGGCTCTTAACTTGCAGCAGATCATACTGTTCCATTTTAGTCTTCCTCAACTCTCTTTGGCTCCCAGCTGTTCAAAGCTGAAAATCTTGTTCTTTGCTAGCACCAAAAACTTCTTCCAGGGATGGGCATTCTCCAGGTCTCACAGATGACATCTAGCTCCCTGTCAAGCCTCCTCAGCAGGTCATGGTCCCCCTTGCTCTTTCCAGCCTGCCTGTGTCCTCTCTCTTGCCTCTCCTCTGACCTGTGCAGACTGTCTGATTTTGCAGTGGGAGGGCTGGTAGCTCAGTGAGCTGCCCTGTCTCTGGGAAATGGGATGTTTGGTTTAGTGTTGCTTTTGGCTGCCAACCTGGACTAAAGTGGAATTGGTGGGGATTAAATTGGTGGCCTGGATTCAGCTGCAGAAAGGACAGCTTTTAAGCAATGATTTCTGTACTTCTTTGTACATCTTTGGCATATCCATTTGAAAGCTTTGGATTTGTGGTCCTGTTTGACACAGAACTGAGTCATAATTTTCAAAATTTGATATTGGGGTGCACTGGGGTGAGCAGAGGAACTGCTGTGGTTCACCTTCCTCACTGTTAAACGGCTCTGGGCAGGAAAATGACCTTTCTGGAGGGGTTTGCCCATCTTTCTGTAACACCCACAGCTGCTCCCAGCACTCAGAATTCGAAGTTAGGGGAGATGATGGACTCCAGAGTCGAGGGCAGGTTGTAGGGAATGCCAGACTGAAAGCTCTTGTCTTCTGAGCTGTAGGATCGGCAGGGAAGGAGATGAGAGGTCAAATGGCTCTTCTGACTCAACCTTGGTGATATGCTCCAGAACTGTGTCCCTGACAAAGGCCAGCACCCTGAACCTGCTCGGGGAGCCAGAGGGCACAGTGCAGCTCTGCTGTGCCTGGGGAGGTGACCAGGGTTTGCTCTCCTGCTCCATCCCATGCTCCTCTTTGCACCCAGCTCTGAAACTTGCTGCAGTGTTCCTGTCACCAAGGAAGAGATGCTTCCACTTCTCACCTGGCTTTTTTCCCCCTCTTTAAATCCACTCATCTCTTGCTGCAAACGCTGTCATTTGTGAAGGCTGCTCTGGTTTATGGGGACAGGAAAAGGATACTGCTCACGATGCTGGAGCAACACCAGAGGAAGGCAGTCAGGCGGATCCAAAAGATCTCTTTGCTGTGAAGTTCTGGCTGCATCAGGTAGGACAGGATGGTCTGAACCAGCATGTAAATGGCCCCTACTCCAAACGTCAGGCAGGCTCCAGCCACGTGTATGTAGTACAGAATGCATTTCTAGAGACAGACAGCATGGCTTGGGCAGAACCTGGGCTCATTTTAAACTCCGAGGACAATTTTCTTCTGCAGACCTTGGGTACTCCACCCCCCCGATTACCTCCTCACATCCCAAGCTGTGCAGTTCTGGAACATGCCAGCAGTTAGGAGATATTTCTTGGCAAGCCCATAGAGAGTTAGCTGGAGGCCAGCACCTGCCAGCCCCCTGTTGTGGCCAAGCCACAGGTCACAGCTCCACCTCAGCCACAGGAAAAGAGCTGTTCCCATTACCCACACTGTACAGTCACACAGAAGCTGGATGAAGGAGTCCCTGCAGCAGGGAAGGCAATGAGGGTGCCAACAGACTGTCTGCTGAGCATTTCTGTCCCAGGAATCTACACATCAAAGGTATCCTGCAATACAGGATGAACACAGCACAGTTCTAGTACCCAAAATGGGATCAAAAATAACAAGGTCTAACACTTCTCTGAATTGCTCTGCTTTGAATAAACTTTGTCAAATGAGTATCTTTGAATACTCAGAGGGAACAAGCTTGAACCAAGCACTAATACTTAACTTAAAAACACCACAGGAGAATCAGCTGCCAAATAGGAAAGATCAGTAAAATGAGAAGGTGTTCCCAGGAAAACAACCCAAGTTTGTGCCCTGAAAAATCATGCTGTGTTCAGTCCTTCCCCCTCATCCTTGGATAGGCACAGCACCCAAGGGCAGGAACTAAAAGGTGTTGTGCTGCCTCTGGCACAGGGCAAGCCCTGGCAGGCTGGCACATCAGGCAGCCAATCTTTTATGCCCTAAAGCATGAGACTCTCTGTGTGTTTTCCTGTGTTAAGGTCAGGAACTGGAGTCAACCTTTCCTCACAATCTCCATGTGCACAAATGAGTTGGAAGAGCTGCACCCACAGCACAACAAGAGGTGAGAATTTCTATTTAAATTGTGAATAATGGAGTTGGAAAGGTGTGTGCTCCTGAATCACAGTGATGAGGTGTCATCAGAGAGAAATCTTTGTCCTAGCTGAGAGGAAATCAACGGCCCAGGCTAGAATAAAGCAATCATACTGGTGGAACAGGGTGAATTAAAGCCCCTGTGCCATTGCCTGGAGTCCCAGCAGTGAGAGCTGTCTGGAGCTCTGGGGTGGCTGTTCCCACATCCCCTTTGCTCCTCTTTGTATAATGTTAAGATGCCTTCAGGACCTCGTGGATTCCAGGGGGCTTTAGCTCCTTTTGCCTCTGGAGGGGGGCCCTCAACCAGTCCTCCTCATCACTGGGGTATGCAGTGACCTCACTTGCAGCTTTTGTCCTGCTCAAGATTAAATGTTGCACAGACTAGTTAAAAAATGAACGTGCACCTTCTATATTTTGATGATCTTGAAAGCTTCAGAAAGCAGACACGGGTGGAGGGAACTGGTGGAGCTGAACCCAGCATGGAGGCTTTGCCTGGTGGGTGTGGTAGGGGAGGCTACGACCTCTGGAGATAGACAGGGCTCTAGAAATTAAAGGCCTCCAAAATAAACCAAACCCAAAACGTCCTGAGGTTGCTACGACAGAAGCTGCTGAAGCACTTGGAGAGAGCTGTGCTAGGGGAAAAGGAGAAGGCAAAAAGGGTGGAGCTTTCCAGGAGCTTTTCCTCCTTGCTTTCTCCTGGCCCTCATCCAGCAGGAGAGCAAGGGGCTGCTGCAGCCTCTAGTGGCTGAAGGCACCGCTGCACATCCCCCAAAATCCAGCAGGTAATTAGCATGATGAGGTTGGCAACTGTACCACTGCCTTGCATGTGTAACAGCCAACAATGCAGGATGTGGCCCTGCTGGTGGTGGAAGAGGCCAGAGTATCAGGTATTCTGAGAAGGGTGAGTAGTACTGGGGAGGTAAAAAAATGAAGAGACACTAAGATGGGGAAATTTCAAAGCTGGGAATTTGAACAGGGGGTTCAAGAACTGTGCAGGTTTGAAGGAAAACAGACCCATGAGGGCAGGTTTTTCAGAGCTGGGCTTCTTATGGGGTTGGGTGTTTTTGTTGGTTTTGCTTCTAGTTGTGATAATTTTTGATTATTTGATGTCTGATTCTCCTGAGTCAAAATACAAAGGAGTTGTGGTCTGTTCACCTGGGGCCAGGTAAAAACTCAGGTTTCAAATCTCCTGTAGGGAGACCCAAGAGGAGTCTGATTTCTGCAAAACTTCTGGGTCTGTTCATGTTTTTGGAATTTCACGAATCAAGTCCCAGGGGATAAAGCAAATAAATTCTAACTAACTCCAAACTTATCTTTTTAAACTGCTTTCTGTAGGGAACTTGAACAAAACCAGCTTTGTCTTGAAAAGTTTTGCTTTCTGTAAAGCCCTCATTTTCTCAGCTATCTCAGTCAACAACCAAACACACAACTCTGGACAGCTCCAGGACACGGCAAGCGAAACACAAACCTGGAAATTTGCAATAATGCAAAGTCCAAAACAGCTCATCCACCCGAGTGTGAGGCCAAGTTTATTGAGCCTGATGATCCTGGATTTATCTGGATTCAAAGCGTAAACTTGTTTGTAACGGACATACATGGTGGCCATGCCTGTCAATGAAGAACCCACACACAGTAAGATTCTCAGCTAGTGACTAAACTCTCTCATTTTTAACTTGGAAGATGCTGAGAGGCAGGATTTAAAACACAAAACCTGTCTTATGGTACACTGAAATAGGAAAGCTGAGAAACTGGGAGTCAAAACTGAAATAATATCATGGTCAAGAAGCCAAATTAGCAGATTTATTCTGATCTCTTCTGTTTTGAAAGCCACAGTGGACTGTTATTCCCTCTCTCCACGATGGCAGCACAAGTAAGGTGACTGCCTTGAGTTTGAATTTCTATTTCTTTTACTAGCCTGCTAGTTTTTTTTCTTTTAAAGACATTTTTGGCCCTGTGGAGTCTGTAGCTCACGCTGGCTTGGTGGCTGACATCACTGCCACGTGCTGCCCTCTGAATTGCTTAAGAGAATTAAGATTGATGGCTTAGAATTTAGGTTTTCACTGAGAATTACAGGCTGTCTAATGATCTGAATGAGGAAATTGTTCCCCACTGTGTGCATTCCAGAACTGCCTGCAGTTGGCCAAGGACAGCTTTCTATACTCACCCAAGAAAGCCGAAATATTTAACATGATCCCAAATAAGCATCTTTCAGGAGGTATTGTCCCTGTGTCACTGGAAGAGACAAAGGGGGTGATAGGTATCCAGCTATACTAAAAATACCTGCAACACAACTTTACTTATTTCAGTCTACAAAGGAACCATAAGAAGCAGATTTGTAAAAACCCTCCCAGATATTTTTTTTTCACTGAGTTTCTCATGACTCAGACTTTAGACTGGGCTTGTTTTAGAGCTGTGGAAATAAGCAGGACAAAGACACACTGTCCTCAGGACAAAGAGGGAAGATACTTGGTGTAAGTATTTTATATTGAGCTTGATTCCACCAAAGGTTAAGACAAGAGTATTAAAACAGGAAAATGAAGAACCTGGAAAACTGAAAGACCAAAACTAAGGCACAGCCTGGCTGCACTGCAGTTGAGAATATGGATTATAGCATGGATTTACCAGTGGAGCCAACCCTGATGACAGCCAGATGCTTTATTCCAAAAGGAAGGTTGGAGATGCCCCCTCCCCTCCAGTTTTCCTGTTCATCATCATTTTAAGGATATGTTCATACTGCCACAGCTTTATTTGTGCAGAAAAATAGCCAGCTTTAAATTGAGTTACACCCAGATAACTACAAGGAGGCAGTGATGTTAGATCTGGAGGGGTTGGGGAGGAACTGCTGTTTGAAATCTGGAGCTGGGGAACAGCTCCCAGGAGTGAGAGGCTGGTTCAAGGCTGTGCTGCAGCATGAAGTTACTGACCTGATGTAGGGCACCAGTGGGTCGACGTGGTGCAGGATGATGGCTGTGATGTAGGAAAACACAAACGAGGCAGCCGACCAAACGACCAAAGCCACAGGCAAGAAAGAGAGGCCTTGCTGAAACCACCACATGTCAGCACTCCCTTCCAGCTCCCAGCACTGTGAGGGATCACATATGAAGGTTTACTGAAGATTTCAGACAGGTTTTGCTTTCCTTGAGGCAAGCTGCTCCCTGTGCAGCAATTTGATATTGCTCCCAATCCTGTCCTGCAAACCTAAAGGGAACATTTGACTTCACGGCACAGAAGCAACTAAAAAAAAGCAGAAATAACAGCTGGAAATGTTCACTTGGAAATTTTTTAGCCATTCTTGAGAGAAGAAATGAGTAGCATTACTTTACTACGTCTCAGCATTTGCTGCTGCCAGAATAAGGTCAAATGGGTCGTTGTGAATGACTGACTCTATTATTCTCCTCATCCTTGTGTCACGACACTGTGTTAGAATCAGAGAGGCTGATAAAGGACGTGTCCCAACAGTGACAGTTTAACTGATAGTGGCTATTGTGGAGCCTCTAACTTCCATTAACAATCCAGGGGGCAGACGTGGAGGAAATGACCTAAAATGACTTTAACACCTGCACTCATCTGCTACCTGTCACACTGTGTGACTCAATGTCTGTTAGAAGCATCACTTCAATAAGGTCATGGATATCTGTGAGGCTGAGCTGCCTGCTGCCAGCCACAACCTTCCAACTCAAGGGCTGCTGGTTCTGGTGGCAGCTGCTGTGTTTTTACAGGTGGTTCCAAGGAAAAGGTCCATTTACAGAGGAGAGGAGCAGCCAACTCTTTACTTGAGCCACCCTGTTCCATAAGTCCCAGCTTGACAGCACACGTGGGTCTCTAACCTCCAGTCCTCCAAGAGCAACAATGTCCATCCAATGTCTGTAACATTGGACTTGTCTTTGTGCTGCTTTTAAGCCTCGAATATTAGTGGTTTGGACAAGAACTGGCACACTCCTGGGAGGTAACAAAAGGCAGCTCTAACCCTTGGAAAGAATCATCCTTGTAAAACTGAAGGTTCAGCTGCTTGGAAGGAAGATGTCAGGTAGGAGAGGAAGGTGCCCAACAGGAGATGGAGTGAATAAAACCAGAGGGATAGAACTAAAGGCTCTTGCTTTCTCACCATTAAGCTTTCCTTTTCAAGCTAAGTATAACATTTCCCCTCTAACACTGACTTATCATTTTAAGACTAAAGCAGTGAGGCCAGTACTGAATATAACTGCACAGTCCCACCTCTGGGGTGAGTAAATTGGGAATCTGAAGGAGAAATGCACCCTTCCCATGGCATTCCCCATTACAGATGTAATCTAAAACTTCAAAGAGTCAGTCTTAGATTTTACAAGCTGATACTCATATTTTACTTTTCCTTTAGCATTTAAATGTGAATGGTGCCTTAATTTTGTTTCTGAGCTAAGAGATTCTTGCCTGAGAACAAACCAACCAACATGGTACATACCTGAGAAGAAGAGCATCAAAGGAAATGTCACCTCAAGGGGAATCCAAAGCCATCTTTCTGCTGAAGTTCCACATTCGCTTCATTTTCTTTCAGAATCTTTTGAGATATAAAGGAAAATAATCAAGATGTGTAGCTCTTACTCTGTAGTGTTTATTCTCCTCCTCAAGCCTCTTCTACTGGTCATTGCTGCTGACTGGACATCCTGTCAGAGGGACTGCTGGCCTGACACAATATGTTCTTCCTATGTCCCAAGTGACTTAAGGAGTGCAGAAAGGAAGTGATTAAGATACTTGGACCTACAACTTGTCTACACAAAGATTTAATTTGAAGTGAGAAACTTTCAAGGGAAAAAAAAGAAGGCAACTGTTCTAATGGAATTAAAGCCAGTGGATCACTGCTGTCACCTAAGGAAGAGGCCAGAACATGGAGTCTTCCCTGTCCACTGGGGACGGGCATCCCCAGGTCATGCTGGTGGTGGGGTGGCTGCTGAAGGAACCTGAATTTAACCTGAAGTCCCACAGCTCCTGTCTTCTCCTCACAGGGGGAGCTGCTGTGCTTACACACTGCAGAAGCCATCAGAGAGCAGATCCTGTGCTGGTGATGTCCAGAGGCTTGCACAGATGTCCAGAGGAGGCCACAAGCGGAAGGCTGAGAGAGTTGGAGGTGTCCAGCCTGGAGAGGAGAAAGCTCCAGGGAGACCTTCTGGTGGCCTTCCAGGTCTTCAAGAGACCTGTCAGAAAGCTGGGGACAGATTTTTGAGCAGGGGCTGTTGGGACAGGACAAGGGGGGATGGTTTGAAACTCAAAGAGTGAGATTTAGACTGGAGAGAAGGAAGAAATTGTTGGTGCTGAGGGTGGTGAGCCCCTGGCCCAGGCTGCCCAGAGAGGTGGTCGCTGCCCCATCCCTGGCACCATCCCAGGGGAGGTTGGCCGGGGCTCTGAGCACCCTGCTCTAGCTGGGGATGTCCCTGCTCAGGGCAGGGGGGTTGGACTGGATGACTTTTAAGGTCCCTTCCCACCCAAACCATCCTGTGGCTCTCTGCAATGTTCTGGTGCTGGCCTGGGGTGATACAGTGGGACTGAGCTGGGTGGGCACAAGCTCACAGACAAAGATTCTCCACCTGCTGGGACCATTTCCATGCCTGTGGAGATTGATCTGCTTGGACTAAGACAACCCCAGTAAAGCAGAACAGCCATTCCCAATTTCCCCCTGGATACTGCCCTCATTACACAGTAACTCTGTCCACACAAGGTGAGTCTCCAGCAGCACCACTCCCAGTGAGAGTCCTGCCTCCTGCAGCTCTCAGGCTGGGATGAAGGTGCCGTGCTCCCCTTTGTGCCTGGCCACAGGAGAAGGAGCTTTGGCTGCTCTTGGCTGCCCGAGGGCTCTGCTGGAAAACTGCAGCTGTGGTTCCCTTCCTCTCCCAGCCACAGCCCCTGCCAGACTCTCCTTGTGCTTCAAACCACTACATAAATCTTTTCCCCCTGCTAAATTCTCTTTCTTAGCCCTGTCAAGATCTTCCCTGAATCATCTCCCTCTTCCTTCCTCTTTAATTTTTTTCCATGTAAAGTCCTTTTTTGATGCTCTTATGTGGGCAGCCTCTAAGTACCACACACATGCTCTTTTCCCAGCACGAACCCATTCATGGCACTGCTGGCTCCCTGTTTATCCACAAGGTCCTTTTCTGACCAATTATCCACCAGAAAGGCAACAGCTCACCTCCCTTGGCAACAGAACTTTGATTTCCTTAAACATTCACCCCCCTCTTCAGGCACTTTTCTGTCCTAAGGGTGTTTTTAAGCCGCAGATCTGAGTATCACAGACCTTTCCAGTTATCAAACTGTCCCCAAGAGCAAGGCAAGGAAGGGTTTCAAGAGCCAAAAAAAGATCTTTAACCACCTCTGAGGTTTTTGTCTCAGCACAGGAAGCGTTCTGCACAGGCTCCAGGAGGAGGAACAGAAACTCCAGATGAAGGTGAAAGGTGGCCAAGGCCGTTAGTGGCAGAAAGTTCACACCACCTAGAATGGCAGAGCTGAGAAAATGGCCCAAAGCACGTGGGGGAAAGGGAAATCTTTAAATTAATCTCCATACCCTGCTTATCAACCTGCCTCTCCCCCTTTCCCAGCAAGGCAGGTGGAGGCACAGCCACGGAAAGGGAGGTGGAAGGCAGGAAGACAAAGCAATTTGCTGGGCACGTTCCTCAGTGACCACAAAGGTTGGATGGGAGTGAGTCAGAGAGGAGCTGAACACGTTATTTGCACAACTTATTGTCAGGGTCAGCGTGATAACGATGGGTAAAGGTTGTTAATCCTCCAAGGACTGGGAGTGGGAAAGGAGGAGAGGTGTCACCTTTGTCGTTGCCACCGCAGGGTAACGACAGATGAGTCACTTTTAGTGTTTTCTCGGTACAGACACCAAAAAAGTAGCTATTAAAGTTTTTTGGATATGGGGGTGAGCTTCCAGAGGGTTGAGGCAAGGATCTTTATGCCCTCGCCGGGGAATCAGCAGGATGGCACCGCGCCAAACCAACCAGAGCCGGGCACGAGTGACCTGAGGATGGACCAACGCCTGGGGTAGAAACCTGGCACGCCGCGACCCCGGCCCCTCGCTCCGGCCCTCCGGGACCCCCGAGCCCCGGCTGGTCGCTCCTTACCCGTCG